ACATGGCTACTGCTACCGTTTCCCAAGGTATCCTGGATGCCGCTGCTGCTGCTGCTGCTGCTGTTGGAGACCAAGGTTTTCCCTTTTTTTTGCTGTGGGGTTCCTGGGCATATCTGCAATCATACTGCGTACTTTTTTTTATTACTCCAGGAACATTTACATGCCAACCGCATTGTAGTTTGCATCGTAGCCAGCAGATAGAATACACAGACCACAGGCACACATAGATCCAAATTCTTTCTTGTGGTGGACGTCAAGATGATTCCTTGGCATGTATATGTCTGTAATGCGGTTGCCGCTGCGCCGCCGCGGGCCCAGCAGAATGGGAATGATCAAGCCAGCCACGGCTGCAGGGGGTGTGCAAGAGAAGGCCGCGAGCGACAGAAAAAAGGCCGAACATGCAGAGGTCACTGCATATGCCAAGTGGGCACCTTGGAACCCAGATCAACAGAGTGCGTGAAGAGATTCCGAAGATCTCGCCTCGATTGCCTTTGGCGTTGGACCAGTCTGAAGCCGCCCGACGTTTTGGCTTTTGGAGGCTAGGGCCGACCGTTAGCCCATGCACCCGCTCTGGGTCCTGGTGTCTGTGCACCAAGCCCGCGACGGGAGGAGAGGCAGGGAGCACTCCTCCGGACAGGGAAGAGTGGGAGACAAGAAAGTATATTTTTGCAGATGGGCTTCTGCCGTTGGACGAGGCTGGGAAAGCTACCGCGTTGTCGGAGCCAAGCCCGGAGAAAAATGGTGTGCGTATTTCTGGCTAGTCAATAGACGAATGCAGACAGGTCTGAGCTAACCAGTGTTGCTCACACTCCGCAGCTCGGTCAAAGACTATCAAAAGACTACCGCGGGGGGTGGCCTTTGTCGTCTGTGCCTGGGCTATGGGCAGGGGGCGGAGAATAACCAGAAAATGATCCCTGATGACGGGTATGACATGCTAACGGCCGGGGGGTCCACTAGGAAAGAGGGGCCACCTAGGTCCCCTCGCAAGGTCCAAACGGATGAAAAAGAAAAGGAAAAAAAAAAACAGAAGAGAAACCTAGAAGGGGCAGGACCACGGAATGTTGGCCTCGTAGTATCCGAGAAGATAGATTGAGGGAGCAGGAAAGGATAGCAAAGAGGCTAGATTTCCCATCCACCCCTGCGTTGATACTCTAGACTATTCTCGATTCTCAATGAATCCCGAATCTATCGAATGTTTCCCCCTCACGATAAGCTTACCGTAGGACGCGGCATAGCCGGATTAATATATTGAAAATAGATTAACCCGTCAATCGAACCTTCCACGACACTCTGGCCTCCGAGACAGACCCATGATTTAATTAAGCCACGATCCCGACCGTCGCGTTGCCCCAGTGGACGATTGGAATACGCACGCGGCCGGGAAAGGCAACGGCCACCAGCGCCATCCCGGGCATGAGGGCCGAATCTCCTCTCCATAATTTTCCATCGAGATGCAGATGCGGACTCTTACGTCACCCCTAGTGTGAATGGGCATAATATTCCGAGGGATTACTTACATACTCAGTAGGAATGCTCACTACCGTTCTGGTGATCATAGCGTAGAGACTGCCGGGTCTCGAAGTACACGATCATTCGAGTCCTCGTCGAGCTCTAGCATATTCGTGAATTTGTATTCACCGGCATGAAAATCGTGCTCCCGTCAGGAGGATAGTCCATACCATACCAGGCCCGAATGGGGGTTGGTGTTTAAGCTGGCGGATCTCTGCGAGGATGCAGCGAACACGCGCAACAGCGATCTCACCAGTAACGTCCCGTGTGGTCCGATCTCGATCCAAAGCTTAAGCCATGCGCGACAACGTGAGGTGTCGATGGCCCCTTAGCGGGACAACACTAGCTAAAAATTATCGGCAAGAGTGCTCAAGTGGGAAGTCGGCGCCGACGAAAGAAGAAAACTAACTGGCAAAGAAGACGAACGATGCGAGGCCACTTAAGACTTTACGATAGATTGGGGAAGTGACCATAGTAGTCAGTGTCTGCAGTGGATCTTCCTAGCAATTGGTTTATTGAATCCCATCGTCCAGAATTGATATAGTATCTACTCCGTACTTGGTGGGCGTTTGTAAATTTCATTTATTTCCGTTTCGATCTGATTTGGCGTCACGGTCGGGAAGTGACGTCGAAGGAGGAGAACATTTCCCATTTGACTTGGGCAGATTGCGCCAGCGGCACGGCGGCTGTGCCCGCGATCCAATCCGACAAGGGTAAGAGACGGGAGACGCTATTCCATACAGAGTAGTTACGACGGAGTACGGACGGTGGGAGGATGTGGCTATAATGTTGGTATCTATGGTCTAGGATGGCCACGCAATATATTGTTTTAGGCAACAAGATCGATAGTGTAGAATCAACTCGTTCTTTGATTTATGGGACTCTATCGAGTATAGAGGGGAAGATGGTACTGTCTCGTCATTTGGTAGTATGTTGGAGTATGCATCAAACAAAGGATAGCATGAATAGCATGAACTGCATGAATATATATTCCTATATTCCAACCTCCCCGATCGAGTGTGTACATACACGGTACTGTAAGTACCATGGGACGTTGTCCTCCAGCCAGGCACAATGTTCATCTCAGATTTGAGGTACTGTGCAACCTTTGTTTCTCCCCGATGATTGGAGGGGGCCCGAGGAAGCCGATCGCCCTGAATCAGTCGCAGTTGCGATTTCAACGCGAGGGGCCTGTGTGACGGTGGGTTTCCCCACACTTCCCATTCCTCAGATCGGGCATTGCGACTTCGAGCTCGCCTACTGCTGCCAGCTCGTTCGATTACACTGACGATCGTGCCAATCCCCGTTCTTCCCTCAGGCAGCCGTCGCTACCCACCGGGGGGGTTCTCTACTTAGCCTAAAAGACTCGGGATTCCTCGGGGGGTTGACATCATGCCCCTTCTCTCAACGGCGCATGAATAATAAGTCTAGGAAAGGGCCCGAACACCCCTTTCATGCATGTCCGAGGCTGACGAGTCGAGAGCGCTTCGAATACTCAATCGGAGATCGGTGGCTCCATGTGATACCCACGGTGGCTCTTCTACGGCGTTATTTTGAGGGGTCGTCGTCCCATCGCGCCAGCGGTCTGGCGAAGTAGTGGTTCGTTAAAGTAAGAGCCGATTCAGTAGAGTTGCGTCGCTAGTCGTGGCCTATTGTTCCCGTTCACCATGGTGTCGGGTCATCTTTACATGACTTACATATATTAATCAATATACAACTTCAGTAGCGTTTGCTAGCTAGGTAAATAGAATGTCCGTGTTACTTCCAAGTGCTTTTTTTTGGCACCAAGGAGGAAAGGTAGCCGTTGCTGGGAATGTGATAACCTCGATTTGGGCCCTGTTGAGCTCTCGAATATAATTTTGTCTGGATATGCATAGTCATAATTACCTCGAGAGGGACTTTTTCCCTTCTCAAGAAACTGGCACGCAAAAGCCATGTACCTATGGGGAGTTTGGGAATAAGAAAAAGAAAAACTAGCCATGCATCTTTGTCCTGTAGAGAGCCGTGAGGTTGCAACTACTCCCCACGTCTGTTCACCCCTTCTCCGACGCTACTCCCGAATCTCATCGCCACAAAAGCAACGCTCCCGCATGAGGCTGTGTTCTTCATCTCCCGTGCTTCTGGAAATATGGCCAACCTTTAGTCTCTTTCCCTATGGGGCGCCAGACTAGTGTTGATTGCCTGCACCAAGTATTAGCTTGGTTTCTTCAAGTTCTCTAGAGGCAACTAATCTCGTTCCAATGGACACTTGGTTATTATCCCAACCGGTATGAATGGCCCGTTGTTTTGCACGCTCTGTGTTTGGTAGTCTCTACCTCGAGTCGCATCAGTATCGCATAACACAATTACTCTGTCTGCTACCAAGAGGACTGAACCTGCAATAGGTTCGCAGCTTCGGATCATTTTTTGACTATCAACATCTTTCCTCATTTCAGCTCTATGTTTTCCCTTTTTTTTTTTTGGTTTTCCCTTCTTTTCCTCCCCAGGCTCATTAAACCCGCACCTCCACTCTACACGCGCGCGACCCCCTGGGTCTCCACTCCAAGCCCCAAGATATCCGCCCATCGCAACTAAAGGCAGACTAGCAGTGATAGGTATGATCCCAGCAAAGTCAACTCCCCATGCGAAGATCCGCAGTTCGCCCATACCGTAATTTGCCTCCCAGTAAAACCAGGTCATGACCGATCTGCCACTTTTCCCGTAATTTTCCCATGTTTCCCCTCCCCCTCTCGCTCCTAGGCTCTACGAACCCATGTACTCCGTACTTTGCAGTCAGCTATGGAGTACGATTGGCTATGTGATTGCCCTACAGTGATCACCTACAACACATTATACCCTGCAACGGATGTTCTCCTGGTTGATGACTCCGTACTTTCCCATCCGTACCTTTTTTTTTCTTAGGACTCCACCGGCTCAAATGAAATCGTCGACTACTCCGTCCGTACTGTACAGTAGTAGTTGCACGTCTGGTACACAGCACCGATCCGCCCATCTCGATCCACTTGATTCCTCCGATGCGCAACGCTCTTTTTTAGTTTCCCTCGAATTTTAATTATTTTTTTTTTCTTTCCCGAAATTGATTTTGGCTTTGATTTTTTAAAGTTCCTGTTGGCGTACCGGTTTCCATTCCTTTCCCTTTCCTCCACCCCCCCGTTCATTCCAATCTAAGGCCCGAAATGAAGTAGCCTCGATCCCCTTGATTTACTATTCTCCTGTAAAATAAAAATAAAAAATAAAATCCTTTTTAATCTCATCGGGTATAGCTCCTATCATCCGTCCCCTAATTCTGTACAGATGTATACCTCCGTACGACGTACGTAACTTACTGTATTTTCACCCATTACCAATCAAATAAATCCGTGAATTTCCTTTTTTGGGGGTTTCTATTTTCTTTTGGCTCCTGTAAAGCCTGAATATTCCTGGAATATTATCTGCTGAATCTGTCCCTTTCCCCCCAATTTCAATCATACATTATCCATATATTATTTATCGTGATTATATGGAATTATCATAAATCGAATTTACTCCGTACGGGTCTCTTCCTCCCCCCCCTCTTTCCGAACTCAACTGGGCCCTTGGGACTTCATCAACTCTTCAATATCGATCGCGGGATCGAAATCTTACTTTATTTAACTCTTTGCGCCGTGATCCCGTTGATCTGGGTATTTTTCTTTTTCTTTTTCTTTTTACCCTTTTGTCGATTAGACTACTATTTTACTTCGCTCTCTCCCTCGTGCGTCTCATACTTGGATTGACATTTGGCATTCCCGTCTTTCCTCTCCCCTCTCGCTCTCCCCCCCCTCCTCCCACGCGAGGCCGAGCTTCGACCCATTTTCACTTCCCCCTATCCCTTGCGTTGCGATTCTCTACGATCGATCTTGACGCGAAAAAAAAAGAGAGAGAGAGAGAGAGAGAGGGAAAGCCAATCTAGCTTTCACGCTGTCATATTCCCTCGGCTCGCTTTTCTATTATTAACGACCGTGGTGCTGCTGCTCTCACTTCTTCACCCTCCCCCTCCCCCCAAGCTTCTCTCTCCGTCTCTCCGGGAATGTGTCCGGGACTCAGACCATAAAACAGATCGTATATACTTTGTATATACCGTGATTGGAGATACTTTCGGCCGTGGACCACGACAAAAAAAGACCGAAACCTTACCATTCTCCCGATCGCATCGGAGTTCATTCGCGCTCTAGACGCCACCCAATCTCTCGTCTCCAAAGATCTTGGGTCGCCTTCGCTTGGACTGTGACGGCATCGCATCCCCGAGTTCGCCGCCACCCGGGGACCCTCTTTTTTTTCTTTCCCTTTCTCTCATCTCTCAAACTGTGGAACGGTCTTCCTGGTGAACGTCGGTCGCACGAGAAACACGTCTCATCCCGTTGAATTCATTCGGCCGGATCCCGGATTATATTTGGGGGTGGTCCCCAGATCTTCTCTCTCCTCCACTTCCTCCGGGGTGAATACCACTTGGAAACCCATCGGAATCGTTGAAAGCTCGGAAATCTTGGATACGCGATCGGATCGGTGCCCGCGCTACGATCTCTGGTTTTGAATGAGCTTGGGAACTCTCTCGTGACGGATCTGCTTCCCCTCCCACCGTCTCCTCCCTTCCGTGTCAACATCATACCACCACTCTACTCTTCCTCCCCCTCAGAAACGTGATGGGGTCTTTGGAAGCCGCGTCCAGGCACAGGTAAGTTTGCCGCCTCGCTCTCTCTATTTCCTTCCCCTCCCTTTCCCACCTTCTTTCCCCTCCATGCTCTCCCTCTCCTGCACAATCAGTCCAAACCCCCAATGCTGATCAACGTTCCACCTTTCCCACAGAGACCCTTTGCCCGCCATCGGTTTCCTAGGCAAGGACGGTTCGGGGTATAATCCCAAACACCACATCGCCGCTTCTCCCACCCCTCTCCTCAGTCCAAACAACATGTACGCCGGACAACCACTCCCCTACTCCTACGCGCCCGCCACCAGCGCCCCGTCGCAACCGGGCTACATCTCACCGCCAGAGTCGCGCCGAATTCTCGAGGATGATAAAGAGAAACCCAGCGGTCGCCAGTCCCTACCCTCCATCCATGAGGCCCTGGGCAACGATAATCATCTCCCATACCCCGCGCCCACCTCCGCGCCACCACCACAACCCGGCCACACCGCACCTCCTCCCTCACATCTCATCGGCCGGTCCGGTGCCGAAGGACCTTCAGGACCCCCAAATCCTTTCTCCAATGGCCCCGCCACGGGCTCGCTAATGCGTGAACCGGGCTACCCTGCACACCCGAATCAGCTCCAGGCCGATGCCTCGCGCACCAGCCTAGCCACCATCAACACGCAAGAGTCCCGCAACACGTCGCTGCACTCGCTCAGCACGGGGAAGTCGCCGACACAGAGCGCAAAGACTGGTATCACCTCGGTTTCTGGTTCGCAAAATTCTTCCGCCTACGATTACAGCGCGCCGCCTTCTGCGGGCAGCGTCGCCTCGCCCAATGGATACAACCATTTTACTCCCAACTACTCGTTTCCCCCACAACAACATCAGCAACAGCCTCCGCCGCCGAACGGCCCGTCATACCCTCCGGCGCATTACGACAACCGTACAGCATACATGGGCGCGCCGCGGGTGGAAGAGGTCAAGGGTGGATATGTGGGCCGTCCAATGCCGGGACAACCTCATTCCGACTCGGTAAAGCGACATCTAGACGTTTATGATGTGGAGACGTCATTGAACGAGGTAAGAATCTGCTGTTTTCTTTCTGCTGTTATGCGCTTCTATGGTTTCTGGCGGTGTGACTGGCAGTCAATTTTTTTTGGTCACCACTCGTGCGTGGGTGGGTAAGCTCTGATGGCATGGGAAATTATGATCTGTCGGATTTCCGCGTGGGGATTGGCGGTGCCAGAGTTGAACATGTGGAATTAGTGGGCTGACATATGCTTCTTTGGGAACAGATCTCCGAGCTTAGCACGAGAACGCTGGACTTTTCAAGGCACTATGCTGCTTTGGCACACCAGACGCAACGGTCTGGACCCGTTCTGGGGTCTCTACCCACGTTGAACGAAGTGGAGGACATGCTCCACCTCCAGCGCCGAAACCAAGATGCTTTGATCCGGATACGAACGGCCGTGGTGAACCAAGAACAGGCACTAGCGGAGCAAATGGCGCAGCGAAAGGCGTTCAAGCCCGGGGAAGACGAGCACATGGCCATGTACCAAGAGGAGTTCAAGGGTGCCGGTGGATTTGCCGGGGCGGACTCGAAGAAACGGCGTGGAGTAAGTTTTTCCTAATACCCATTAGCCCTCCCATTGATCCTGTCACTTGTCTCTTTCCCACCTTTACCCGGTTCATCTCCCCCCCTGGTTCTCCCTTCCCACCGGATGCCAAGGTTTGACATGTGCCAACCGGCGTGTCTCAATTGCTCCTGGACCCCCTCCCCCACCGAACATTGCTGGATCCTGGATGGCTAACCAAAGTTCTTCCACGTTTTTCTAGAAGGCGGCCCCTCCTGGTCGTTGCCACAGCTGTAACCGAGCCGAAACTCCAGAATGGCGTCGGGGTCCAGATGGTGCCCGAACGCTGTGTAACGCATGCGGGCTGCACTATGCCAAGTTGACACGCAAGATGGGCGCTAACAAAGCGGCAACCCTGGGATCGAACCTGAAGCCCAAGACGGTTCTCGACTCCGCATCGCCAACCAGTCATTAAGCTTGCTTTTTTTCTCATGTGGCGTTGGAAAAAGGGTGGACATAGAAATGGGGCGGCAAAAAGGAGTTCAGTGTGACCGATTTATCCTTGTTTTATTTTTTTGATTTTTTTCCCCTTCCTTCCCCTTCTGCTTATTCTCGATTCTTTTCCTCCTATCTCTTCCCTGCCCTATTTTCCTAATCTGTTTTGTTATTATCGGGGATCTGATGAGTGCGAGCTTTGCTCCCCTCCCCTTGACGGCATACTTTTGTTGTTTTGAATCGTTTGTGTTTGGTTTCCCATTGGGATGGGAGTATCGTCCTTCCTGATCGGTCACCGCTATATAATACCCTCGCAGCGTTGGGAGCCCGGCTTCAAAGCATAGACATTCTTTTGATATCGGAGTCTTGAGGTTTTTCATTTTCCTGTCAAGACTGTTTGCTCTGTCCTTATCCCCCCCACTAATGGCTCTCTTTTTGGTTTCCTGGTTTCTTATTCTGATTCCGATTTTGGGTTCTGCTTCTGGATTATACCCTGCATTGACCTACCGTGTCCAACGAGCCTTACTTCCTGTCTCTTCTTTACCCTTGTGTCTCTGTCTTCCTACGTGTCTCTGAGTACGTTAGCTCCTCCCCTTCTGCCCTCTGATGTGTGTACGATCTTGGTTGCTTAGCATCTCTACGGACTCTTTTGGATGAAACTTGCTTTTTTATTACTTGATTCTGATCAATGATCGCCCACCGGCACTTATCCGGCCTTGTAATTGTCTTTTTTTATGGTATACTGCGTGCTGATTGTGCGACTGCACTGTAAATCATCTGCGGGTGGCAGTAGCATTATGGATCTACGCGGCACGATGCTCCCTTTTGCTTTGTTTTTATTGGCGCTATAACTGCCAGATCGCGATCGATGCGCGAAAAGTCAATCTACCAATCCAAAAAATCCTCGTTAATTGCCATTTAGCCATTATCATTTCTTCTTCGCTACCATATAATTGCTGTAAGGCAACATTGTCGTTGCCACTGTATAGGACATAGCTCGGCGGTGAGTCTAGGATTCTAGCCGGCCGAGATCAATCGATGAAGTCATAAGGGCCTGGGCAAGTCCCGAACTGCGGTAAAACCCGAGAGATGGATGTTTGGTTCAGCCGGCGTGGCATTGCCGACACCGACCGTGGAATCTCGGGCGAGTTCTTGGAATCTACTGGATCTTGCTAGTACAATCAATGCCCACCGTACGAAGCACGTGTGTCGGCCGACTATTTACCGTTTTCGGTACGACGAAAGTTTGGCCGACTTCGCTAGGGATAGACAGATGTAGTACAAACACCCGTGCCAAGTAAGGATATCTCTGGGTTCATAGAGGCAAATAAGAGATTTCTTGCATTGATCCTCGATTTGATTCGTGCATCAATTCTTATTTATGTAGCCCGCTGCGTGGCGAGGGGCGAGAATGCCAAGGGGGTTTGCCGTAGGAACTATGGAGTCGAACGTCCAGTCACTACTCCATATGGAGACAAAATCCATGGGGCAATATGAGTAAGGAATGCAAAGAAAATTGTTGGAGTACTGCACGTAGGGTATGTGCCGCTAAAAAAGGTTAGAGGCGCGAACTACTGTTGAAACTATTGAATCTGGCAGTTCTAGGGCACCGGGGATGGGGGCAGATCTTCTATGAGTGAGCAATCGGGTGCAATCTTATACGAGAAACTCCTCTCCTACATGCATATCGCGTCGGTAGATGCATAGGGAATAGCCGCGAATGGACGTGACATATGGAAACTCTATACGCTGATGGCAGCAATGGGGATGATCTTCGTTTACGATCATGCTACAGTACTATTTCGTGCCTACGGCGTATATTGACTATTGCCTAGTGAAAATTCCTGCAGGTGCTCGAATTAACTCGAATTAAGGTGAAGCCATTGCTTCTATGTCCAGTCACTGTACTGCTACTGCAGTGTAGATCAGGGCAGAGTCAATAGACCGATTGGGACGCGTTGTGCATCGCATCTACAGTATACCTTCTCCCTCCCTCGATCCTGAGATCTCAAATCGCAAGTCTCAAATCTCAAATCGTACTAACATAGTCGAGCTGAATTGCGGAGTTCTTCCAAAACCTTCCATTTCAAATCTCAAATACTTCCGACACCATCCCCACTACGAGCCCGCCACCGCCAGAATGCAACACGCGGGAAAAAAGAAGCAGTCGCAAACTATTCGATAGGTTTGCGTGTGGGGCGTTCCTGTGCGTGTCAGCATTTGTCATGGTCCGTGGTGTCGGGACCGTTAATAGCATTCTTTGTTTTGGCGATCTTTTTGTAGGTTTAATTCTGTATTTTCTTGGATTGGATAGGTTATCAGGGGACTGGCGAAGATACTCGGGGACTGTGTGTTGGAGATTCGAGGTGACAGGTTGGTTCGTGGGGTCAATTTGTGTATGTAAGGAACTCCTGTTCGGAGGGATCGGTGGAGTCGATCGTTGATGGATGTGTGGTCTGATCTGGTCTGATTAAGGCGTTCAGCCTTGCCAAGGAGTCAGTTCCACGTCTGCCTTATCAATACTGAATCCCAATACAAATTAAATAGTCCATATTATACCAGTCGCTGACTGGCCTCTAGACTACCTACTACGGAGTATAGGCAATATGATCTTGCGGGGGATCGGAATGTCTTGTGATGGATGGGGGCTAAATTGTAATCATCTTTTCACATCGAAAAACAGAAGTAGTTCCAGCTATATTCAGTTAGTCAATTGCAACTTCGGACTCATAGATCCCGATCGGGCGGAGATATCTGGAAACATCAAGACTGCGGGTTACGGAATTTGATAAATGTGGAAAATTATCAAAATTGGGTAAAACACGACGAAGCAAGCTATGTGGTTAGTAGTTCGCAGAATCGGGGGCTAAGGCTGAGACTAGCAAGGATGTGCGGTATCGATCAAGATCTCCGGATCGTTGCGCGTCAAGTATTTGAAATTGTGCAATCGCGCTAGGAACACCCATTCATCGACCATAACATGGGGACATTATTGTCATTTTGGCGGTTGACTGACTCGGTGTGATACCTGTTATTGATTTTATGTGTACGAGTATAGTCAATCGTGTGTGGTAGTTTATGCAATCGATCTGATCAGTGGTAACCGTGGACAAGCTTCGTACACCTACTATGTGAGTACATATGCAGACCCCATACTGGCATGGGGCTCGGCACCAGAGTCTGCCAAGAAATTTTCATTAGCACGATTTGATATAGTTATCCTAATGAACGCAGCAGGGGCAACCAAATTAGGACGGGGCCGCTGTGTTGTGTGTTGACTCTTGTGATCCCTGTGGAGATCGTTAGATCGTGAGTCGGTCATGTCCTGACAATACGTCGTACATGCGAACCAGAATAAGATACGAAGAGGAATATCCCAAATAGGGAGAGCGGACTACACGTTTCGAGGTTAAGGATAAAATACCAACAAGTGAGTGTGTAGCTACGTGACTACTTATTCTTCTAGTCCGATCGGCTTCGGTTATCAATCGTCGTAGCGAACTCTCCCAGCAATCGTTCCCAATCATTAGCTTCATTTCCACCCATGTCCATTAGATCACGACTGGGATTTTGTTTCGGGCCAAGATCGCCTCGGAGTTCAGCTAAAAGAATCCCTGACTCTTCAGCCCATCCCGTCCACGGCACGTAATAAACCTTACGAGCATTCGATCCCTGGAACGCGACTTGTGTAATTGCTTAGCGGCGGATACCTCAGCTCCACGAGGAGAGTACCAATTCACTCCATTACAGCACAGCCCAGATGGCACGAGCCGTTCAACTGCATAAGCAATAATTTGTACGGAGTACATAACCAGAAGAAAGCAAGGATCCATTCTTTGAATCCGATTGAATCCGTACCCGAGAATAAACAAAGATAACCCACTGTCAGGCGAGATGGCAGCACCACATCGCCGTCCCGAGATCTACCTGGCCCCGATCGCGATCCAGACGCTGTGTATGACCCACAAAGACCGGCGTTCTCCGTCTTCTCGTTGTACTCCTTACTCCGCTGAGTGGGGAGGTGACAATTCAAGCATGGTCGCTAGCCGCTAGAAAATGCGTTGTCAAATGTTCAATCAGTCAGGAATAGATTCGGTTTGTATGAACTAGTTATGCATACTAACTTATGATATGCCATGTACTGTAGAATTAATATCCCTGGACTATTATTGCCTTGACTGCGTATATTATATCAGCTACTACGGAAACCGTCATAAAGAAATAATCCCTCGATCTATCGTTCTCCTCTGCTGGTCGAAATGTCGCCTGCGAGGGGACCTCTGCAGATGCCGAGCTTGTGCTACGGAGTACAAAGAGGAAAACGATCCGGGGAGTGGGGTATTTCAAAGCACAACACATCGCGACAGATGATCGACAGTACTCTGACTGTAATTCATAGTCTAGCTCTAAGCTTTTAGAAGAAGATACAGGGTCTTTCTCGTTTATAATGACTAGTTTCAGTACCCTTGAAAACAGTATATATGACGTTGCATGTTGCTAATTAACACCATGATAAAGTGGCATTGTTAGTGAGATCAATCCTGGATCTGATCGGGCGCTCAAGCACCCCCTAAGAACCCAATCTGCGATCGGCCTAAGATCCCGCTCCCACTAACTATCGAAGCTGGGCTCTAATTTGGCTTTCCCCCCCGGTTCGTCTGACCTTTTCCTGAGATCAAGCTAGACCGTTTGGGAGACCAATCTGACGGGTTAACCCAGGAATAGGGGAGGGGTTAACATTGTTTGTCTTGAACTTTGGTGAGGCCCACGGCGGGTTGTTAGTCGTTCGTTTCTACATGGATCTTCCCTGTTCGGCTGCAGTCGATCAGATTCAACGCGTCCCCGACAATGTCGGTCAGAATTCAAGTACGAGACTAGTTGTGATACAGTAATGTAAACCGGTTTTACATACAGCCATGAGAACGATGACGATCGGGGTCATTTACTATTATGCTTTAATTATAACTTCCCCTGGCGGATGACCATGGGACACGGGTCCCCGTTTTTCAACGTTGTCTTCGCCTAGTTTGACCTCAAAACTTGCCGCTTTTCACGGCTTCTCATAGCAATGATCCGCAATTTGCCAAGTATCGTCATCATCGTGGAGATTGCAAGGGCTTTAAATCGGTAGATCTGAATTTTACCGGGCTCTCGGGCCTCCCGCTTTCCCGTTCTGGGCCCGATCGTGATGGTTTTGTGCTGTTAGTGGAGCCTGCGCTTTGACTTCGTCGGGGGCTTCTTGAGTTCTTCTAGCCTTCTTTGCGTAATTTGCGGGCTGGGGGGGGGGGGGGGGGGTTGCTTGACTTGGTCGCACTATTGATTGTACGAACCGGTAAATGGAGCACTTTTTCAATTAGGCGCGATACACGAAGTATGGGACTATGAGTATTTACATATCTATTTCCCGTTGTAGATACACTACACGGAACATGTACTTCAAAGGAGATTAGCTCTCTTGTGCTTTAATAATATAGCGTCTAGTCCCAATTCGGATCATTTCTCATGCGGATCTATCCGGAAGGAAATCGATTACCGAGACCAAGACACTGTATTCAGTTGCCTACCGTAGATGCCTCTTACGGCAAGAGGGGTTCGTCTGATTTATGGGGCCACCATGCTGTCGCATCCTGCTCTGTGTACATTAATCATTGGTGATATTAAATCCGCCCTCGATCATCTACAGTACCTACTGGGCTAGCGTAGTACGCGGGGCGTAAAGAAACCCGGGGGTAGAACA